ATTTAACCTAACATAGTGGCTCCTCTGCATGACTATCATATGCACGTGTTGAGGCTGCTGCTCCAGCCACAGGAAATACTGTATGCAAAGATCCCATAGCAAAACCTTGTCATGTTTATGTTATACTTTTAGGCATAAAATAAATATACTTTATTTTATAAACATAAACTGAGCGGGAGTTATCAGTCAGTGATATGAAAAATATGTCATACAGTCGAGCACTGTGTGGTATGTCAGTCCTGCTTTTTTTCATCACTTAAATATGAACTGTAAATTGCTTCGGTGCTGTATCATTGACATAGGTTGGTAACATAAGGCCAAAAGAACYGAAGAAAACCAGTGAAAAGTGCAGACGACAGGAAGGGAAAGGAGCCAAGTTCAACCTTCCCCAGCCCTCTCTCCCAGCACAGATGAACTGGCAGAAATTACGCTGGCTCCCAGCCCACAAACAGCACAGGAGGGGTACCAGCTGCCCCCTTGCCCACCGACATCCTGGCACAGCCAAACCCACCAAGCACCCAAGGGTGGCTCAGGGTGATCCTGCTTCAAACTTGCACTGCTGCCTGCTTAGGGCTTTTCCCTTCCCTGCTTTCATCAGCTTTTCCCAGGCAGGCTGCAAGCCACCCTGAGCCAAAAGCACAGCAGGAACTCAGCCAGCAGCCGGCAAGGGACGATGATATCCCAACAGCATTCCCAGGGAAACACTTCATGGGCTGGAATGAGAGTAATTCAAAAGGACACTAGTCACAAGCCTGCAGCATACATAGAGGCTTTTCCAAAATGTGTCGGTTTATCTAGTTCAGACAGCCCCAGCCACCCAGCCAGATGGCCCAGATTACTAACTGGCCATTCTAAGAATGGCTTGGAATATAGAGGACCTGCAATATGTGCAGGATGCAACTTCAAAACAAGCAAGAATTCTTTGTACTTGGTACAACTCCAGTACATGTGTCCTTTTCCCACACGGTTTCTCTTCCCAGTTCTAGTCCTACACCTGATGTCCTACTTCATGGGACAGACCAGAGGCTTTTCCTTTCCTTCAGCAGGACCCTGTTGCATATTCAAAGACTTCTCTCTTTTCCAGTTTTCTTCATCTCTAGACTAACAAATCCTGGTTCTGGGTTTGTTTTTTGTTCGTTTTTTTTTTTGTTGTTGTTGTTGTTTTTGTTTTTTTTTTTACAAACGCAGAAGGAACTGCAAAACGTCTTTGCTGGATGCCTGCCTTTAGGGTGGGGGATGAATAAGAGACCCTTGGCAAGAACTAACACCACCCACAGTTTCTCCTCTCAAGWCTGTGTTAAATTACTTTTAGAGTACTTTGTGATCTGAAGTTGTGTGTTTCCAAACTTGGCAACTGTCTTAAAGACTGCTTGTACATTGCAATTCGCAGAAAACACAGCAGACARGAAAAAAACACAGAGAGCTGCAGAGACAGGGGTGTCCTGTTTCTACACAGAGATTTGCCTTTACCAGATTCCTAATATTTCATTTGTTCATTTGATTTGGAGGAGATGTGGGGTCTCCTGCTCTTCACAGCACTTTGAAATGGCTCATCCCCTAAAGCCTGGGAATATTTTCCAGTTCTGCTATCCCAGYTTATGCAACTCCAGGGCAGGATGGCCCTGTTGCGACCATGGTTATCAGTGGATTTAGTGCAATAGGCAAACACATCCATGCCTGGTACCAGGGTCCAGGCAGTAAAGCCCTCGTTCTGTTATTATCTACAATTACTATCTACCCAAAGTTCAATTAGTTGGATGTCATTGCTTTGGAATCAGGGATTTGGAGTCCTTGTGAACATAAGTCAAATTATAACAACTTAGTCACCTTCCAATACAGTGACTCACCATCACTTTTGGACCTGAAAGGACTTGTCACCCATTTGGTAGCTTCCAGGACAGAAGCTGCTGTAACACCAGTGCTCACATTCATSCCTCATGGCATGAGGTGTATGATATGGAGCATGATATGGCTGGGTATTTCAGCTCACAGCAAGTGAGGTCACAATTTAGGACCACCAAAGTCTGTRCTCCATCAGCACAAACCTCATGAACATAGGGGATACTGTTACCCAGAGGTCAGCTTTGGTAGAACACAACCCAAGTTTCTGGCAAACTGATTTCCTCTCTCTGTTTGGCCAGTCAGCAGGTGATGAGGTAAATTTGCAGACAGTGCTTTTGGCACATCCCTATTACTTGTAGCCTCWGTAAAAAGAGAGGTACCAGTCCCCTGCCCCAGAGTACCTTGCCCCCCTTGCTCCCAACATCATCCTGGGGAGSATTTCACATCCACTCAGTGCAAAAGGCATTTCCGCTGCATAAACTCTCCCGAAGTTAGTTTGTGCTGAAGCAGGATGAAAAGGGCATCACAGTGTCTGCATTTTCTCTGGGGAAAAACGGTTCCCTTGAAAATGCTGACATCAATGACGGTGATGATGACGAAGAACCCTTTCCCTCCGGCTGACATTGCGCTGATGCGAGGGCAGGTGTCCGCTGAGTTGTGCCCGAAACCGGGAGCCGCGGTGTCCGCACGCTCGGAGGGCGGAGGGGAGATCCCCCCGCTCCCGCCCGGCTCAGCCCCACGGCGGGACCGGCCGCCACCCCCACCCGGGGGCTCCTCAGCCCCGTCCCCCCGGCACCGGCACCCGCAGCTCCCAAACCCCTCTCACCCACCGAAAGGCCAGCAGCCGCTCCGCCGCCAGGGCTGCCGCTATCCCGACGAGAGCCACCGCCAGCAGCTTCCCCATGGCCGCTCCCGGCTCCTCCGCGTCCCGTCCCGTCCCGTCCCGTCCCGTCCCGCCCCCGGGGCTGCCTCCGTGGCCCCCGCCCCGCCCGGCCGTGCCCGCACCGGCGGCACTGCCCGCCCGCGCCCGGCCAGACGGCGGCACAGGGCCAGGCAGCGGCTCTGGGCGCGCTCCGTGCTACAGCTCCCGTGGGAAACGCCGCTGGACCAACTTCCAGCTCTGTTACCMTACTAAAACATGCATTCTACACAAATGAGTGTGTCAGACCAAGCCTGCGTGATGCGGAATGTTCAGGTAYGCCTCATACTGAGATGTACACGCTGATATGTGTGCACTAAYACCCACGTTTCCCCCCTAAATGATRCTTCTTCCACTGCCACTCTYCCCCCAGTATCTTTCTCCTCTGTGCAGAAGGGCTGCAGARCCCACCCTGGGGCTCCAGGTCTCCTCCATGCAGCAATCTGCTTTTGCATCATCTTCCGTGTTGGCCTCTCTGTGCTTTCTGCTCTTTGGGGGTACACACTTGGCAGGTTAATGACCTCCCTCCGCAGTTATCTCTCCCTCCCCGGAATAGTGAATGTCCTCATCTGGATACATTCCTTTGCACTTTTATGAATGTCTGAGCAATCACTTAAAGGGGTTTTCTGCTCTTCTTGCCCTTAAGGCCAAGTAGATGCTCCACTATAGAAGTTCTTCAAGTAAAATGTGTTGGGGAAGAGGAGGCACACCAGAATACCTTTTCCCCTCAGTTTTGGAWTACTCCTTTTCCCTTTTCTGGTCCTTGATTACTTTGAAATTATAGGGAGATGAGGTTTCTTGGGAAGAACGTCTGGAGTTGCTGTGACCCAAATGCAGGATTTGCAACTTGGCYCTTATTGAACCCATACCATTGGCCCCAACCAATCAATCCAAGCTGTTCMAATCCCTTTGCAGAGCCTTCCTACCCTCCAGYAGGTCMACACTCACACCCAGCTTGGTGGAGTTGTCTTGAACTTACTGAAGGTGCAGTAAATCCACACATCCAGACAAATAGATGAAACAGGACTGGCCCAAATACTGAGCCCWAGGGTGCACCACTCATGAGTGGCCAAAAGCTGGATTCATGTCCATGAGCCACCACTCTCTGGGTCCAGCTATCCAACTTTTTACCCATCCAAACCCATCCTATCCGTGAGCAGTAGCTCCAGGAGAATTCTGGCTGAAATGAAGGCAATGGATTTATAAAATCTAGGTAGACACACYCACAGCCTTTCCTTCATCCACCAGGTGGGTCACCCTGTCATAGGACACCAGGCTGGTCAAGCAGTACCTGCCTTTCACAAACCCCTGCTGGCTGAGCCTGATCCCCTGCTTGTCCTGCACATTCCATGTGAAGGCGCTTAAGACGATCCCTTCCAGGATCTTCCCTGGCACTGAAGTCACTGGCAGGAATGGTTATAGTCAGGCATTGCAGCCCTCCAGTGGTGTGACCCCCTCGGCCCTGTCTCCATGATGGCAGCTGTATCAGCTTTTCCTGCTGCAGAATAACTWCTTGTTCCTCCTGTTTATTGCCTGTGCTGCATGGGCTGGTGTGGWTGCTCTTCATTTGGGCTGTTGTTCCCGCTGCCTTTTTGGGGGTAGAAGCCCTAAGTGCTGCATGACCATTTTCACACACTTCTGTGATTTCTGTACCTCAGTGACCCCTGCATCTTTGCTGCCACGTGGGTCTGCATCCATCCCCATCCCCCTGCCACAGAGGCAGCAGACTGAAGGAACTTGGCAGCACACCATCCATCAAACATTGATGCACTGCCTCCAGGCTTATCTCTAGCAAAACTGCTTTGATCCACCTACCCCTTCAAATSTAGTTTAAAGCTCTTCCAATGAGCCCTTCTAACTGGGAGAGGATTGTTGAGATCAGGCAAATCCCGTCTGTCACAAACAATCCTGATGTCATGAAGATTGACCCATGAGAAAAAAMCCCAGATTCTGCTAGTTTCTTTTCTCAGGTTTCACACCAACACTGTTTTCCTAGCATAGTGTTTTTCATTTATTTATTGACACCGCAGTTTAGTTTGCAAGAGCATATGCTGCTCGCTGTCTGGAGCTCAGTTATGGGACGAGGTGGGTGCAATTCATCTGATGAAATGTTGGTGTCTGCAAGGGAGATGAGGACATCAGAGCTGGTCAGAAGATTGCAGGAGTGGCCATACTGTGTCAGATCAAGGGTTCATCTGTCTCTATAGCTGACAAAGGCAGTAAACATGGGCTTAGTAAGAGTAACGAAATGGGGGGCAAGTTGAATAAATCCCCCAAGTTTCTTTCATAGGTCTTAATTCTTTTCAGCTTAGTAGGATGAGCTTCACCTTTCTAGTAATCCTTAATAGATCTATCATTCAAGTACTTCCCTGTCTTTCTTTGAAGTGAGTTGTGCTTTTAYCACATTTTTTTGCTGATGTCAAGCTACCTAGGCACCCTGTATGGTCATGTGAAGAAAACAGTTACTTTGAGGTAGCAATTAATATAAAAGGTGCCTAAAATAGATAAAGAAATCTTTCCTGAGAAATGGTCATTTCTCAGAATTCACTGGAAAGGAGTCTACAGTGACTAATTCAAGTGCAGAATCTGCTCTGTGGATGCCTGAAGGTGGATGGAATGAATCTCCCTTGAAGTCTCTGCTTATCAAGTCACCCTTGACTGAAGGAASACTCTGGGCTTCTCAACAGCCTGCCTCTTAAGCCCATCCCAACCCTGGGGTCTGCCCAAAGGCGCTGTCAGCATCGGCTGTGGCTTGCCATCCCCAGCACCCCCCGGCTGGTCAAGAGGCTGCAGCAATGCTGGAGAACTCTTGATTGCTTTTCTATTGCAAATCCCCCTGTGGTATTTGCWTTGGGACACTCAGGAGAGACCTGGGGGTGACCTCCTGCCACACAGTGTAATGACAACAAGCAGGAATGAGTTGTGTGCCTGTAATCAGCTGGAGGGGGATATKTACCAAGCCTGGGAGTGGAGTGAGTGAGCAGAGCAGGAAGGCAAGGAAAGGCTTAAGCTAATTTAGTAATTTAGACTCCTCCACAGTCAAGGAAAGAAGATAAACCCTCAGTAAACACATCCAAGGGTTGATTTATTCCATCTGGGAAAGCATGCATGAAGTAGGACAAGTAGCAGACTGTGGRTGCCTAGGCTCCCTCTCTCCCTGTCTCTCCTGGCTGATGGAAGAGAGACAACTTACTGAGAAGATAAAGGGAGCATTTAAATTACTGAGGGAAAAGGGAAATTTTTCTAYTAAAATTTTGGAAGTCTTAAATCTTTCAGTTGTAAAAGATATGCCCTTTACATGTGCTTCTGTATCACRTATCATCCTCTTTTTGAGCAGGTAAGATACAGAAGCTGCATAGACACAGATTTGGATTTCACAACAAACTATTTCAAAATGCATCATTCTTGAGTCATTAATGAAACACAATGTGTTTTACCAAAAAACTTTAAATAAACCAAACTCTCTTTTTATCCAGATTTTACTCTCTTTTATAATGATGTTAATCTGAAGTAAATTCAATATCTGCCTTGCCAAAGTTATTTACAATAAACTTACACTAAAGATTAAAGGCCAGAATATTATTCTAGAGCACTTTTGGGGTGCTTATCTGACAAAATACAAAAGCCTACAATGCAGGTGGGATAGCATTAAGTGGATCCTTGAGTTCATGGAGGGCACAGGGAGCCCAAAGCTCTGGAGAGCATAGAGGGCATGTCTGATCAACAGCTTGTGAGGAGTCAGGCAGTGCTCAGTGACCCTGAGCTGCTCTACATATACTGAATTAAATCCAGAAGAGGACATGTGGGTGTGAAGACAAAGAAGATGCTGCTATATTTTAACTGTAGAAACAAGCAGAAGATGTCAACACAGTGTGGAAATGTCCAAGTCCAATGAGATCTTAAACCAAACTTGCTGGTTTTGCTGAATGCAGATGACAAGGCTGGGTTAATGTAAAGGCCACATCCATCAGATTGCTGCTGACGTGCAAGTGCTGAACTAGCTTCAGGTAAAAATAAAAACTGGCAGGCAAGAAAACTGCTTTCCACAAAACTAGGCAGAAATCGCAAGMAAAGCCTGTGGTTTGCCTGCTGAAACATGAGGGAAAAGGCTTCTAAATCTGCAGATCATAGAAATGACATGATTCTCTACAAATGCTGTGGCTAAAARCCACTTTAATTTTATTAGCTGATCAAATGGAGATTGCAGATAGTCTGCTCAAATATCTCAGCAATTTCTTAAACCTTGCATTCTTCAGCCCTGCTAAAGCCACTTCCCGGCTCCCCATTCAAAAACTGGGAGCAGAGTTTCCTACAGCATCTGAGCCATTGTCACAGAGCAAGGCAAAGTCCCTGCTCAAACCCCACCACTGCACATAAACACAGTGTCACCAACCAGTTAGAAAACGTGACTTCTCCACTATCACCTAACAAAGAGAYTGGTACCTCAAGGCATTCAAGGACACAGTTGCATGGTGCCTTTTACAATGAAAAAAGGTAAAAACACTCCTGCTGTGACACCAAGGTACATTGATTTTCTCAACTGCTGAGAAAAATACCTGTCACAATGGCATTAGTGTATTTGTGGGTGTTAAAAAGGCTTTTGCAGAAACAGTCTGGCTTTTAGCCCTGTCCTGCTTCAAAGTGAGTAAAAGCCTCGACCTAGCCCTTGTGGAGCTGGCTGAAGATTCCAGCCTGCCAGCCATGAGCAGCCCAGAGGCRTCTGCATAAATTTGGGTATGCAAATAAATCTCTGAGTATATTTTGGTTCTTTCGTGGTGGTGTGAGGTAATGAAAATGTTCTTAGTGATGACAAGATGTCAGAACATRTCACTGTCAAAAACAGCCCCAAGCAAGGCTCTGTCCTAGCCCAGCTCTTGTTTAATGCCTTTCTGCAGCAGATTTTGTTGCTGCATCTGGAAGCASCAGCAAAGCAAGCTGCTTTAATTATTTTATAGGTGGCAGAATTGCTAAACTGGAGAGATGCCAGGCTAAATCGAATGTCAGAGAGGTCCTCTCAGGCAATCTGCCCTTTGGTGCTGACAGTGTGCTGGGTGTGCAGGACAGTACTGGTGGTTTAGACTGKACTGCCACAGTTCAGCCCTGTCACAAGCATAAAGAAAATAATGCTGTCTTTTTCCAGCCAGAAGCATGCTGAGCCAGTAGTATGCCTTGGCAGCACAATCTTTCAGCCTTGCAGGTGAAATTTTGCTATCCTGGCAGCAAGCCCCTCAAACACTGTGACTGATAATAAGTTGCTGAGCTGAGGGAGAGGGCCATGTGGCTTTTGAAAGATTAAAGCTGTGTATGAAAGCAAGGAGGCTCCTGACTTCAAAGACAAGTAAAGGAGAGCATGTTCCTGTCATTATCACTCCTCTGTACAGAAAGGACTCTGAAGCAATGCACGATTGCTCTGACTCTCAGCCCACTCTGTGTGCACTMCTTTCATACACTTGCAAATAAAAAAAACCAAAGTCAATGTCCTGAATGCTGAGATTTGATCCACTGTCAAATATTAACCACTGCCAAAGACCTGTGGTCTTAGGTACGCTGGTGTGAGCACTGGYGCATACATCAGATACATGTGTTGCACACAGTTGTGCTCTGGTGCAAAATACAGTCCAACAAAACCTTATAAATGCATCARCACCGATTTTTAATTATGGCATCAATTTCACAACACGAGAGGCTCACTGCTGATGCCATCATAACATCTCACCTACATGGAACAACCCAATGACACAGCAAAGGACTAAGAGGGAAAGGCCCAATTCAGCTTACCCAGTGCTACCCCTATTTATTTATGCATYGTAACTATCAGTGAAATTTATCAGAGGGGGGAGAAAAGAACAACTACAAACTCCTGAATTTTCAGGATACTGTATCTCAGTAAAAAGATACAAAGCGAGATCTAGAAATCKAGAAGATTTCAAATTACTTCAACACAAAGGGAGAAAATAGCCCTGACTTACAAATTTAGTAACAAACAAGAAAAAATGTTAAACACATTGAGCTGTGATGTTTTCTGCTATAGYAAAGTGCAACTGTGATGAAGAGTATGAGTATATAAACTTTATTTACAAAATGTGGACTTCTCAGATTGTATTGGCACTCTGAAGCATAAAAAAACCAAGAGGAAATTGAATTCTAGAATGAACATGGAAGCACACATATCATCATAGTTCATGAACTGTATTTCCTACACCAGGTTTGTCACTTTCTAGGCTGCCCCATTTCTACCCAGCCTACCTGAAAATGTATATGATTGTAATTCCAGTATAATAGCACCTAGAATTACTTAATTTTATGTCACTGTTCCAAGTCCTGGTTCTAGTGTTACTGGGGCTGCTTCAAATACACAAGTGTTGATGTTGGTTATGGAGGTTCTTCCATGACACAAAGGCAAGTAGACCTTCACACTAGACTGTTCTGGTGGAGCATGCAATTCTGATGCTGTGAAATGCACTTCATACTTCTTCTTCATCAGAGACATGATGACCTGAAACTGTACAGGTGGATTGGGTTTGTATGCAAATTGTAGCTAAAATATTGGGGGTTTCAGATAATCAGAAGCAGCAGAGACCCAACTTAACATCCTTGTCTCTGGGTGAGATGGCATCAGGGGTTCAGTAGTTCCGTTTGGCCTGACCCCCCTGTGTTCACTGAGTGACAGAGCCACTCTCCTGTCCTGTAGCTTGCTTCACATTCAGCTTCATGTTCAGCTGCAGTCATGTAGGAAGAGCAAGGAGTTCTGTGAGGGAGCTCAGAGAGGTTGAATTGAGGTCTCTCCTTCACCAGGGAGGGCATCACAGCTGCAGGGAGAAGCCAGAGCTGCTGTGGTAGGGAGGTTGTGTGTATGGATAAAACTGCACACAGCCCCACACTGCTGGTTTTATTGTCAGTGTATAAAACAAGAGCTGACAAACCTGAGAGCAGCCTTGCAGTTAACAGCCCTTTAGCAGGGGGAGTATTTCTAGCAGAAGTGTTTTAGAGACCAAGACGGCAAAATAGAAGAGCCAGGACATGAGAAGTAATAGAAACAACTTCACTCACATTTTTGGGGAGCTTAAACTAATTGCAGTCTTAACAGGTACCTGTCAGTCAGACTGTGCTGCTGCAAACCCAGCCTATGAGCCAGCCTATGAGCAAGAGGAATGACATTGTTTTCAGTGTGAAGAACTTTACACAGGTATTTGATTGGTTTTGTTTGTGTCTGGATTTGTTTTCTCGATTTTCAAACCTTTCTGGTAAAAATGATGTGAAAACCAAATACAGTCATAAAGCAATGACTTCCGAAAGTAATATTATGATCTAATCCTTTGGGTAAACAAGGTGGGAGAGACCACTAAGTATTATAGAGTGTGCACTGAGAGCCTGGTCCCTACACAGAGTATGATTACTTATCCTTCACTGGAATTAAGGTAAAAATAAACACAAAATCTTCCAGCTAAGATTTAGTTAGCTAAAACAGCAAACTAAAAACAATAATAGCCCTGTAGATTAGGCTGTCTGAATCATACACACAGTAAATCTGAAAAAAATCAAGAGATTCTTGCACTATACAGCTAAATAAGTAACTCCACCTATTTGCCCTGATAAAATACTGTCAGRTATAACAATATATGGATATATGTACAGTATCATAACAGGGCATAGAACCATATAAAGATATCACTCCTGTGGAATCATAAGCTGTTTGACTTTTTTCTTCAAGCATAAACTATGAACAGGTAATGGAAAAAAAGAATGTAGGACCTAATCCAGCACTTACTGAAATCCTTGAAAGCTGCTACATCATAGCTTCTTCTCTGCAAACAAGTGCCCAAGGGCAAAGAACGTGGCCTTGGTAGCACCAGAGCCTTTATAGCATCCAAAAACAACACCCCCCCCAACCCTGCCTTCTGCTCTCTGCTTTCATGGAGGAGGTGTCACATGAGTGGCCAAGAGAGAAGGCACCCCCAGGATGCTACAGAGCACATCAGGTGTTGACATTCATGTTGCTCTCAACCTAATTCTGCTCAAGAGCAGTACCTGAATCACATGAGGTTCTGAAGTACCTTCTAGAAGAAGGTAGATTTTGTTTTTTCTGACTAATATCATCAGAAAGGAAACAAAGTGGAGCTAGAGAGTACACAGCATTGAGTATTGCACTCTTGACACCCAGAAACTGCATTTCTCCTCATGTCTTTGGGGTACCTCAGATGGCTGGTCCCAGAAGCCCTCCAGCAGGTGGGCAGCTTCAGTATGTGGTATCAAAGCAACTAGAATTTAGCTGGCGACAGTTTTTAGGAGACATTACATACTTTTTTCCTTTGGTTCACCTTTTGTTCTGACATGAGCAGAAATCTGAAATTTAAAAGCAAACAGCTGATTTCTATTGTATAATAAGAAAGCAGCAATGGTTATATTTTAAATCTTTGATCAGAATCTTTGAGAGAAGCTTAACATTTCTGATCAAAGTGTGGAGGTTCATAGAGCATGTTACAAATTTCAACCACATTAACTTGACTTACAGATATCAGCATCATGAACAAGAAATAAGGCCACGTACTTTCACCTTTCAGCAGTCCTATAGAGAATGGTCAGAAGGCTGTAGACCACTCCAGCAGTACCTGTTAAAATGTTCTTGTGGTCTGCTACTGAGATCTCATCTCAATATGTACATTCTGATTTTTTAAATTCTAAATTCTATACTTATGTAAGTGGGTTTGGCAGGTGAGTTCAGGGTTTTTTTCATATTAGCAGCTTCAAAACTTGTTGAATTCATGTTTTCTTATAACCTTGTGGCACAAGTTTGCAATCCAATAAAATTGCACATGGTTGGAGTTTTCCACCCACTTTCTTTGAAGGCTAGGTGGGGCTTCAACAGTTGTGTGAAGTACCTTCACTGACACAGCTCCGTGCTCTGCAAAGCTCAAAAGAGATTATGGACAGATGAGTCTGCTGGGCTCAGGCTGGCCTGGGGGCTTCTCTGCACCTCGGGTCAGATGCAGCCACGGGCACTTGGGTGTCCCTAGAGAGAACACAGGAAAGGACACCCATCACACCTGGCATTGTCAGCTGGAGACTCAAAAAAAAAAAAAAATATATATTCCTGGCTCTTGCTTGCCGCTTTCTCCAAGTTTTGTGCCAAGAGTCTAGTTTTGCTCTGAGATCTAAAATGCCTGAAGTCTCTTGGAGATTGTCCAGGGATTTGTCTCCAATTCCTACCTTTTCCTCCCCCTGGCAGTACACTGGACACTTTTAGGTGCAGATGCCACTAGATTGCCATCACAGTTCCATGTGTTCTCCCAGGGTGCTGCTCACAAGCAGGCTTTGGGTGTTGGGAGGAAATTTTTGGGCAGGAGTTCATTGGGAGCCACAAACCTCCTTCCACCTCTCACTTTCCCCAGGGATCATCTGCACTCAGTCCCACAGGCATTAATGGCCAAACTGGGGCAAACACAAACATTTCGACCCTTCCATCCTGGGGCAGATTTTTCCCTTTGAACAGCCCTGCTTTGGATGTCAAACAGCAGCCACAGAAATGGGCATTGTCACAAAAACCTTCCTCAAAATGTTTCCTCTGACATCCATTGGATTGCGAGCACTTTAGATATTTACTCTCACCTTTTGCAGTACCAACTTTCTTAGAGTTTTTAACATGAACAATGCATACCACGTGTAAGAAAATAAGTCAGAATTCTGTAACGAGGGTTTGGGGAAATTTGTCTTTTTGTGGGTCATTTTAAATGAGACCAAGAAAGAATGTCCTTAGAAGGAAAAGTCAGATTTTTTTCTAAACGCAATTCTCTGACTTCTGCAGACCTCTCCTTTGGGAATCAGATGATCAGATCTTTCAGCACACTTCCAGTTGACTCAGAGGTGAGCAGTTAGGTGGATTAAATAAAAAAAAACAAACCCATAGTCTGCTGAATAGCACAACAGATTTTGTATCACAATTTCATTTAAGTGTTAAGTAAGTAAAAAATTTAATTAATAAAAGGAAAGCAGTAATGTTCTATTTCTGGATAGTATTTGAAAGCAGTTTCTAACATCACTGTGGCACATACCTTATTTACTAATTAACTTTTATTTCTGCATATTATTACTAAGCATGTTCTAAAAATCAACTAACTTATCTAAATATTGATTAAATTACTGCCTTTGACAAAAGTAATTTCATTTACTACTAAAAATACTCTCCTATGAAGGGTATTTGTAACCCTCTTTTATTTGGCTTACTTTATAACCAGATTTATAACCCAGATTATATTTGGTTTASTTTACACTTAATGTTTCCAGASTATATCTGATCTGGTTTTGATTTCMATCTTCTGACACATGAAATTGCACTCTACAAGTGTTTTCACACACTCATGCAGGAGAGAACATGACAAATTCAAGAGTCAGGTGTTTATGCTGTGGGTATCAATGTTTGGGCAAAAGAGGAAAAATATTTCCTTGTCTTAGCTGAGCATTGGCATGCTGTAAGAGTCTCATAATCCTTCAAACTATCTCCCTCTGGCTTGTGTCTGTCTTTGAACAGTTTTATTTGCTTCTCTGTGCCTACCAAGGAAATAAAAGTCTCATCTTGAGAAAGGTGATGGCAAAAGCAACTGGATCTCCACTCTCTACTTATCYTTGCTTCAGAAATGTTCTTGTGTGTCTCCCAGGTAAAAATCTTCTTTAGGTGGAGAGGATACAGTAATGTGCAGGGTCATTCACCTGTTCTTCTCTTGGAGAAGCTATCTCTTTCAAGCAGGAATAAAAACACCACTCTAAGTCACCATTTCTCAGAAGGAAGTACATTATTGACAAGATTTGTGCTGCAACAGAGTGATAAGTGGATTGATTTTTTTAAAGGTTTGGTTATAAAGAATCATCTTGAAATATCAAGACTTTTCTCCAAGTGCTTTTCAGTGTTAGGTGCAATTCACCAGATCTTTGACATGACTATATTGATACTAAAAGGTGGCAGACTCCCAGGGCTTTTGATATTTCAGCACTCCTTCTCATATTAGGTCTGGGTAATCTGTTGATGACTAAGAAAGCCCACGGTGTGCAGCAATGTATCTTCCTGTTTCTTACATAATGATTTAAAAGGAAGAGCCAAGTCTTGATCTTTATTTTAAACTCAGTTAGAACTCTAAATGATTTAATTGAGAATATGGTTGGAAAAGGAAAGACTATAAAAAGAAGAAGAAGAAAAAAAAGCTAAATGAGGACTTGGCCCAGAGAATGCAGGAGAAAAAATAAAATGAAGCAACATAAAGCCTACATCCAATGCCTAGACAAAGCTACTGAGAAAGTTATGATTGGTCACTATGGCAACAGATTTTTAAATGGAAATAAAATGCTTTTAATACTGCAGGCACATTTTTCTGTACAGATCTAGTAAATTAACTCAGACTCATTAAAGGGATTATAATTTTATAATATGTATTCTATATAATGTTGAAAACAGCAGTACACCAAAAAATCAAAATATAAATAGCTATAAGACGTCGATGTTTTTACCATATTACTGGTTTAGTCATTCAGAGGCTCAGGAGGTAAATGGCAACATCAGTTATTTTCTTTCCTCRGGGAATATTTTAATAACTGGTGTAAATCAAGGCAACTGTAAGCTTAAATGAGAAATATTTGCGTTTATTTTCTTGGCTTATATACTAATGGACTTGGGGTGGTGAATAAACATATTAAGCTCCATTCCATGATGCAAGAATTTGTTCACACACCTTCCACTCCACAGTGATGGAGGTGATTCACTTCTCACCCCCTTTGCTCTGCGTCCCACACAACAGCATCGAAGCCGAGCCAGCCTTGCATCATTCATGAACATTTTGGATATCTGTCAACAACAGCTGGAATTCCAGGATTTATCCTGGCCACTACCAATAAAAACAACATCTAAGGTAATGTGCACATCCTGGTTTAGACTAACACAGCCCTATTGTCACTTCTGCACCTTGGAACTGGATCTGTTGCGCTGGGGAAGGTGGATGCGACACACCGAACGAGCAGCTTTAGCAGCTCACCGTGCTTAGAAATGGAGCCAGCAGCACCCAGCATCAGTGACCGATTTATCAGCAAAGGGTGGCAAGCACAGGCAACAGCAGAGATTGAAAACATTAATCAAAAGCGCTGGCACAATCCCGTGGGCACACGGTGATTATGAAGCCACGTCAGACCCGCACTGTCCCTGCCTCTCTGCTGCCTCCAGCTGTGTTTGTGATGCACTGCTTAATTTGTGATAYCGCCTCTTCCCTCTCCACACGTTCACCCTTTCGGCAGATTCTTCCATATGTTTTATTTCAGCCTTGCTTCAAACTCAGTCCTTCAGAGCAGAAATAGTTAGATTCCCAGGCCAGCAAAGAGCCGGMTCTGGTGGCTGTTCAAAGAATACCAGTACTGCTTCTGCTGAAAGTGTTTGTATTCCTTCCTACATCAGCGTTTTGATCCAAAAGGACTGGCATTTTAGAGCAGTTCCAGAGCTGGAGATCCTTCCACACTTTGGCTGTTTGCCTGTCCTAAAACTCCTGTCATTTTATTCAGTATATAACATYAAAGAAATAATTTAATGTATAGCAACTATCTCACAGACACTATCTTAGCTCTACATAGATCTCATTTTGACAGGCAAGGCAAAAATTGTTGGGAAGAGCCTGATGAGAATCCCTCAACTTCAGCCGGCTGCTGCCACAGCTCAGCCCCAGCAGGGAACCTCGCCAAGCAGCAGAAGCCAAGCATCAGAGCAGGTAGGGAAGATGCAGCTGCCTGCAAGACACTTCCATGGGCAATGAATTATTTTTGCTCTGAAGGAATACTTGTCCTTAAAGAGCTGCTTTCCATGGGCTTCATTGAAAGCATAGTCCATGCCTCACTGAGGCAGGAGGAAAGAAGTGGTAAAGATTCACATTCACACTTAACTTTGGTTGCAAAGTCCTCTGACATCAAACTGCAAATAATATGAAGAGAATTTTCCACTAAGAATAGATAGGCAAGATTTGTCTTCCCCACGTCTTGAAAATACTGTCCACCTGATTTTAAACTCTGCCTGTGTACAGGCTTCATGTTTACAACAATAATGCCCTTTGAATCTAAAGCAACCTTCAAGCATTCTATCTTGGTATCTATGGTATTTCTTTAAGTGGTTTTGTGGAACAAGTGCATTTTGTGCATACTTTTTATTGGACTGTAATCTAATAATGATCTTAGTAGCAGTTATTGAAAGACTTTTCCTCATTTTAAAATATTCTAAATTTAAGAGCTAACACTCCATTATCAATAGATAATCCAGCCCYGAGCTTCTGAACATGCTAATAAATACACTGATAGCAGGAACTGGAACAGTGCGCAGCAAAAAAGGAAATGGATCCCTGGGGCTGAAGATGGAAATAGCAGGCATAAAAGCTAAAGCAAAACCTGTGGAAGGRTGGGAATGAAGTCTTCAGACATGAAGCTCCATGACAACAAAACTCTGGATTGTTGCCATCAACTTTGGATTTTGTAACGTGTGTGCCTTAAGGCTTAAGCATGGCACTTGCTCCATATTTCTAAATTTTTCTTGCTTTAATGAAAACAAACCTACAGGACCCCAACTCTCCTAGACACATAGGTTCCCAGTTCCTAGGAATTTTGCTTCAATGGCTTAGGAAGTTTATATCTAAATGCATTTGAGTATCTGAGACTGTTTCCATCCCTTGCAAATGAGAAAGAAAGTGAAATAATATAACAAAAAAACAAGAAGAGGATTCCAAAGTAATGATACTAAGAAGGTTTCAGCCACARGGATGAATTTACAGAGAGGATTTTTCTCAAAAGATTATTTACAGCTGAGCACCTGGAGAAGATAGTTTGCACCTGGCAGAGCTCAAGAGCTTTTTTCCTAATAAGAAATAAAGCAAGATGCATGGAGATGATTTATGTAATCTTCACACTCAGAGTCAGCATCCTGGAAAAAGAAAATCAGATAAAATATAACTATAAAGCTAAAGCTAGCAGAAAGATGTGCAGCAGTAAAAAAAATCAATATTAATATTAGAAAAAAAAAAAAAGTGCCAAATGAATAAGTAAGAGAGCTGTGCTTAATCTGGCTTGAGAACTAAGAACTGTCAAAAAACAAGGGATATACTTGGCAACACAAAGGATATACAAGGTAACATTGCCCACGGAGTGGGCAGCAGCGGCAGACTTGGACTGATGCTGCAGACGCTGCAAGAGCCACGGCAGAGAGAGGGGGTTGTGATCACYACTGCACCAGTGCTTCTGCAAGCCTGTGCTGCTCTGAAGAGATCAAAGGGTGGGATTAACTCAAGGATCTGTTTTGTGCTTCGGGCCCAGAGATCTGACGTTCAGTACATTTCCCTCCTTAGTATGTATACTATAGAGCAGAAGGGGCTGCTGCACAGGGAGGTGTGCTCCTGCYGCTGAAGTGACCGTGTCAGATGGCCACCAACCTCCCTGGCCAGGTGTGCTGGGACACTGATGCACGGCAGGCCCCTCTGGAGCTGGGAGAGGAGAACATTTGTGATCACACCTGCCTGGGTGACCCTGCACCCACTGCTGCTCCTTGCACCCCATGGCGCTGCCACTGCAACAGGGCTGTTGCCAGCCTGGCACTGCCAGGATGTTCAGTGTCGCAACCTGGAGCAGCCCACGGCTCTGCTTGCATCACCACCGTTCTTTGGGAGCATTTCTCCTTTTCCTGGCTTCCTGCCTGCCCCAGTATAGAGCTCAGGAGCTGGTTTTCACCTCCAAGCTCCAGTCARGCTGCTCCCAGCACTGCTGTGAGTTACGTGCCTGCCAATGCATTAGTGCTATATGTCAGCAAGTGCCAGCAGAGGGGCCCTGGCCCCTCAGGAATCACGCTCTGCACAGTCTGCCAGGACATCTTTCCTCACTCTCTGATTGAGCCTGTCTCCGTGTTCCTATGAG